CTCCAAAATATCGATATCAATTTCACTTCATAACGATTCTTATAGCTAAGAGGGGTCGTCTTCTTCTCCCAAGTTTGCATAACTTTGAACCAAAAAAAACATAATAAACTTCAATAGGTAGCATGTTTTATATGATAATATATGAAAAGGCCACAAAACATTAACACCGAACAACCAAACTAAGCCTTTAACAATGCAATAAAGGCTTAGGGATTCCTACTTAGTTCCCATCCAATCTATACATATACAAAATAGCGCATCATTTATTACGAATCGTTGCTTAATACAACTTAATTGACTTTGCATGACATGCAATAAAAACAAAGTGCATTGATAAGGCTTAAAAATGAAGAACGAATCGAAATACAATCATCCGCCCCATAACACGGTCATCATATCATCTCCTATCGATTTCATGTCCTTCGTATATGACATGGCCATGTGGCCACGCCATATTTCTGCGCTATAACTGTTTTCTAGTTACATATGTGTAAATTTTTATATTTAAAATGTTCTTAGTTGTAATTTAAAATATATTTCGCACATATTCCGTTCATAATATCGTTTTTCGTTAATATTCGATTTAAAACCCCCTTTAACGAGAAAAGTTCAACGGGAATCATTTGTACATAACGCGTTATAGGGGGCCAGATGAGCGCGTACAACACGTTTTCCTATAACGCGGAACTGATCTACCGTGTTATAGAGTGGATTGCTTTACTTATGCCGGTGACAATAGCAATTATTTTCTTCTCATATTGAAGAGGGCGGGCCGGTTTATTAGCTATCGCTTCGTGTTAATGGTAATTACTCGATTTCGTATCGAATTGGCCTTCTCGTCCGATATATTTACAATGAAATATTTGCTATATATGATCGGTGTGTGTGTACCAAAATAAAACATAGATATTAAAGATATTAAATTCGAAAAAAGAAGAAAAAGAATACGATCTTTGATCACGACATGTCCTAGACTCCTTAACTGAAAAATATTAACTACGACCATAAAAACGTACAAGCCATGGCCAGAAGACTTGCCCGACCATTATGTTTTTAGTTTTTTATTGAATGGATTATCGGAAGTGGAAGTTTTTCAAATACGCTCATTATTTAGTGTTAGAACACGAGAGAAGATTCTAAGGAATAATTTGCCGTATTTCTTATTTTGACACAAATCAAAAAAAAAAAAAAGTTTATTTTTATTTTTACATTCTAATTAGAGAAAGAAACAACAACAAAATACGATTGGGGGAAACAATTGCATATGTGTTAGTAGTAAGAGTTGGTCTACTACACAACTATTTGCGTCGTTAAAAACGAACGAAATTATTCTTAATTTGAATTGGTATCGAGCTGTGCTTGAGAGGATCAAAATATCATAAGATGACAAGTGATAGGTGATTTCTTTTGAATAACAAGGACGACACTGAAAAGTGAGGCTCTATACAATTCGTGTATACGATGCTTGATCAATTTACCACTTTTTCTTTTTATCTTTACCTATAAAATTGCTTTGCTAATATGAACTTATGTAACGAAAAATGAAGGCGACAAACTTTAACGAAAATTCTTTTAACAAAATTATTAAATGGAAATAAGACAAATAATTATTAATATTGAAACGTTAGTCGTCTCGATTTCCGTTATTAAAATATCTGGAAACTTAAGAGGACGTAAATCTTTTTTTTTTTTT